TGACAAATTCACCACTGGGAAATAGACTGAGAGATGGCAGCTTAATCAATGCACAGCTGCGTTTAACACCCAGTCAAGAAAAATCAGAACAGAAGGTCAGAGTCAAAAAGGTTCAAAGACCAACTGGAAAAAAACATTTTTGAACATACAGTATACATCATCTGAGTCCAAACAATTCTGTTTCCTTCAGGTCAAGACCTGCTTCTCTGCCTCCTGTAGGAAAAAAACAAGGTACTAGAACTAGAAGACAGAAATTTCAAAAGATAATGTCACAGTTCTCAACGTCGGGGATGGGCCCCCAAGGGAGCACGCAGCTACTGCTAAAAGTAATTTCTACAAATAAGTGTTCAGACTCACTACTGTAACTCGTACATGACTGTGTGTTAGAGGAAATTCATAGCTGTGACATAACAAGGCTCCTGTAAGCATGCTCTACAAACTGTTAAACTCCAGTTTTGCACAAGCCCCTCCCCACTCCACTCCACCCCTCAGGCAACAAAACGTTTTGCTTGTTTATTAAATAATTCTCCCACCTGCATGAGAATAATGAATGAATGAACATCCCAGGCACAAACAAACACGGTCGTCCTGAGCCCCCCGAAAGCACAAATGACGATGTGAGAGCCATTAAACTGTTTATGTGTCAGCCTGACTCTCCATCAATTATGACGCTTATCACACACATACTGTGCCCCAGGAGCGCTGGAAGCCCCTTAGCCAGCATTTAGATGCTATTAAAAGGTCCCGTATATTAAACAAGCTGACACATCACATAATGCATGTCGTTTATCAACAGGCTCTCCGCGGACGCTTTTATTCCACTTTCTCTCTGTTTCTCCTCTGACATTCCCGAGGTTGGCATTACGCACCATTTACCCGGGCCTGTTTCTGTTTCTGTCCATCTGGTTCTCCTTTTCGACTGTTTCCTCCCAAACACCATACCATTCCTTACCCTCACTATCATTTTCTTGCCTTTTTTTTCACCCCCGCTCCTAAACTTACTTTCCACTGCTCGCCCCATCGATTCCGCATTCTTCTATCTGCTCTTCTCGGCCCTGCTGTCTTCCTCTTCCTACCGAGGCACTGTTGCTCCTGAAGTGAGTAATATGTTTCGGCGTAATTAGGTTGGTCTACTTCAGGTGGCTGCCAGGATAATTTACATGCAAATAAAGTGAACCAATCAAGGTTCACAGATGAAATAGATGTCATTGTATTTCGTGACTGTATGAGAGGTGACCCTTGGAGCAGGAAATTAACAGGTGGGTGGGAGGCTGATACCTGGCTTTTACACCAACCATCTCCATGTCCTCTTTCACAACATCCACAAATCTCCTCTGAGGTCTTTCTCCTCTCTTCTGGCAACTCATTGTCTGATATATTTACCATCTCTCCTCACCTTTCTAACTTACCCTCCAAATGTTAACTGCCACTCTGATCTGCTCATTATTAATTCTGTCCGTCCTGGTCACTCTCAGCCTCTTAACCTCTGCCACCACCATCTCAGCCTTTTATCTGTTAGACAGAGCTTTTATGAAAGACGATGAACAGAACAGAAGTGTAATCACTCTGTCACACTGTAGAAAACTTAGACTTTGACAGGAAACTGGGCTGAACTAATCACTCACTCTCTGTTAAAGAGACGCATTTGCGAAAAATTTCACAGGAGTTTTTTTCTGTCCCTCTCGAATCCCTGGGCCCCAGTTTAAGGTAAGTAAATTACAGCAAAGTGCTACTTTATTCTGACAGCACCGCAGACTCACATTCAACTTTAGTGCCTGTTTCCTGGACGTGATAGGGAACATTTAAACGTTCTTGATCTCATTCTCATGGATTGCTCCCCCCTTAGTCTATCTCCGTCGGTGGAGAGGGTGTTACTCAACAAGCCAGCTGGGAGATGTTTAGAGCTCCACTTAAATGGATAAATAACCCAGTCCTGCCTGGTCATCCAGAAATGAGTGTACCCATTAGTTATGCAGCCAAATGGCATTCCTCGGATCAGATTAATGCCCTATGATCTTTGATCGGCCTCTGGGCTGAAATGAGCCAGAACACACTGTGAGCAACAGGCCTGTGTTAATGAACAACGCGTGACAAAAAACATATTACGCCATCTGCAATAAGAACACAAAAATATATTTTGTATGAAGAAGGAGAAGTTAAAAAAGTGGAAAAATAGGACCAGGATTTACTGCACACCCAAAGATGATGCTTTTAAAATGGTTCAAAACCCATAAATACTGGCCGACGTACAGAGGTGAGTCACGGAACAAAAAATGTATTTATGCCGTGACAATCTGGGAAGTATATATATTTTTAATGGCTTAAGTCAGTGGTTCCAAACCTTTTTTGGCCTGTGACCCTATATTCACATCACCCATTTCTGGCGACCCCAGCGACCTTTCCTTTTTTTTTAGAATATTCTAGAAATAATGAATTCTGGAAAAAGAGGTCCTGCATCATCTCTGGCCACAGTGAAGATCTGATAAAAAGTACTACAGTACTTCATGTTCAGCGTCGGTCTGTCATGTCTTTTGTGTATTGTGTCACCTCGCCACAATAACAACTACTATAAACATATACAAAAACCACATTTCTAATCATATTTTATAATAGTAAAAGTATATATTTTAAAAAATAGAATAGTTAGTTTATTATAGTTTTCCAGTAAAAAAATCATACGCTCAACATTTCAGGGGAGCCCATTTGACTTCCAGGCAACCCAACATGGGGTCCCGACCCTAAGGTTGAAAAACACTGGCTTAAATTTTGTCACCTAACAACAATGTTTGTATTGTAATTCTAAATTAAATTAAAAGTTAGATCTTTTTACGATTTCTTGACATTTTTTGAGAAAAAAAAAATCACAGATCAGGACTTTACACTTGTCGGTGTCAAACCACAAGGTCATCAAGTGGACGTAAATAAGCAAACTCCAACACACAAACAGCTCCTGCATAGTCAGTGCATGGACTGTTCATTTCCTAGTCTTGCCAAAAGGCTCCAGACCACATGTCTAATCCTGACTCTGACCAGCTAACACCACAGTCTGTCCCCAATAAACAACTTAAGTCTAACTTTGAGAGGAGATTGGGAAATGAGAAAAGGACTCATTAAATTAGGCTTTGGTTCCTCTTATCCAATTGGATCACACGGTCAGAGGTAATACCAGTAAATTACCTTAATAAAGGAAAAGAGTAAACAGAGTCACAGTGACACACACACACACACACACACCAACACAGAGAGGATACAGATGCCAAAGCAATGATGGCATCGTTGGACCGAACACCACCTGCCTGGCTCAGGGCTTTCGTGCGTCGAACACACCCAGCTGTCATTCAGCTCCCTTTGGTGTGTGCACGCTGTGTCCTCGCTGTGTCCTCGCTGACCTCAGTACTTTGTTGTAACCCTGGTTCTCCTTTTGTTTACTCATTAAAACACTTTTCCTGGTT